GATGGAGGCTTAGCTATCATACCCTTACACATATCTAGTCACAAATATCATAGTGGACTAAATGCGCCAAAACAAATGACCTTCTACGGCTTTCTTGCTTACTTGTGTGCACCCATTGCGAACAAAGTTACACATTCACATAAGAGCAGGATGTTATAAGCGAGTGGGCCCGAGAAGGCCTACTCAAACCATCTTGTCATTATCTCATTAATGTGATTAAGTATAATAAGCCACTGATTCATGACCGATGTCATAAACTAATTCCAATCATCTTAATGTGTGAGTTCTCGAAGACAAGTTTTAAAAGTTTAGGCCCAACTAGGTAATGACTCACGACTAAGTCATATTCACTAGATCATAAAAGAGATGTCATGGAGACATCAAGTGCGCCTAAGTCGCAAATTTAACTAGTAATTACTAATCCCCTACACCTTCAAGTCAATTTTATTCTCCATACACTTTACTGCATCTAGTTGAAAGATGACGATACTCCTCTTGCCATCTCTGTTTCTCGCATCATAGTTACTTGCAATTAATTCTACTATCCACAAGAAGGAGAGAATAAGCTATCAACTATGACAGCTCCTGAAGTAACTTAAGCGCGAATTAGGCCAAAGAGTCTAATTCAACACAATGCTCTTACAAGCGATGCGTCAAATTCTTAGAGTCATAACAACCTTGTCAGCCTTGATCTTTTCATTACTATGCTGCAACGTTTGCGCTTAGTGGTAAACGTTATTCCAAAAAAAAAAAAATGTTAGCCTAGCTAAGGAATCATACAAAGAAGCCCCTCCTTATGTTTCACACTCAAGTGTGGAAACAGTAAGTGTCCAAACTTAGACAAGTTGGCAATGCTAATAGATTTTGCAGCTTCTAAGCGCTAATCCTTTCACTTAGTGTTAATAGATTTTGCAGCTTCTAAGCGCTAATCTTTTCACTTAGTGTTAATAGATTTTGCAGTTTCTAAGCGCTAATATTTTAACTTCACGTGATATTTCAACACACACTATTATAGTGCATGAAATTTTGCACCATCCACTCCCAATAATTGGGTAGAGAGCAAAACACTACTCATACTGCCTACTCGTCTTACACTTAATGACCAATTTATTTAAGCTCGCATTTCTTGAATGACGTGACTCTTGAATGTTACTTCATCCAATGATGTAACATTATTTACAAGTCAAATTACAAAGTCAATCCGCGCAGCTCAATAGTCAAGATCATATACAGATCTATTGAGGGCTTACTAATTTCATAACTCCAAAACTCGCCAACCAAAACTACGTAGTGTGCCGCTAACCATAACGCACACATTAGTTTTTATTATGCCAAACAAGGCAACAAAACCACGGCGACTTTGAGTCATGTTTCCTTACTTTGGCTCAATTAAGACTTGACCTAAAGTCTCCAAGACTTTTGCTCAACTAAAGAATGGGATTACATTGTTCACATTTGAACATCTTTACTAAGTCTAGGTCAACCAATTGACTTCCACAAGCTAAGTCAATTTAGAGAGAAATTCGCATTGGGATTAATTTGATTAGCATAATATAATTTTGCCATAAAAATCTAAATTAAATAGTGACCATATTACACAAGTCGCAAGATCGAAAATCCGCTATGCTCGTAATCATCTCTTGCGCCACAGGTGACAATTATCCAAAACTTAATTTAATTTATGCGCAAAATATTGGTTTTCGGGAGTAAATCTACAAAGATTTCTCTCAACCGAACAACCTCCCGCTGACTATGGCATGTCAAAGCATGATAAATTCCATACAGTAGCATCTTAATGTAAATTTACAAATAACTCATGCTATATTCATTTAATAATGGAATTCAAATAAATAAATAAATAAATAATCATGCTTTTCTAATTACAACATATTAGAAACTCTAAAAAAAATAATATCTTGTATTAAATATTCAAATTATGCCATAACAGAAAGTACATCATCCTGAAATTTTCTAGAATTTTTCTGAATTTTTCTGGAATTTTAAATAACTAATAAACACACATAAAATTAGAAATAAATATTCCAAAATCTGGTAAAATGCTACAACTATACCAGTAAATAGTAAACCATAACAGTAGTCTACAAAAAAAAATTCAGCCCCAGAAACTTAATCATGCAACACCAGATGCATTTTAAACCAGAAATAATGAATTATTATTTCAGGAAAAATATTTTTTATTTTTATAAAATTTTCAAAATTTTATAGAAGATAAAAAATTTAATTTTGAGTCTAACGGTACCAACCATACTTAAAACAAAGCTATAACGAATTAATTATGGCAATTTAACGTGATTCAGAATTAAAAACAAAACAAACAGCGCCTAATACATCAATAGCCAAGCCAGCTGAGCCGGCGGAGGAAAACGGCACGGCTCAGCGAGCCCGGCTCAGCACACGGCTCGGAGCACGGCTCAAAGCGCGGCTCAGAGCACGGCGCGCGCGCGTGAGGGCGCGTGCAGGCACGTCGACAGGGCATCTAGCGCGTGGGAGCGCGTGGAAACGACTCACGGCGTCAGGTGGCGCGTGCAGACCGCGCGCCGCCTTCCAGGGGGTTTTCTGGTCCGATTTTTGTACTGTCGGACTCCATTTTTCACAATAAAAACATTTATGGCATTAAAAATGACATTTAAACAACATAAAAATGAGGTATATTTAGTACTTAAACTTTTCACAAATTGATTAATTAGACCCCTGTCGTCACCTTCCATCCACAATTGGACGGCATGTGATGAGCTATCCCCCTGAACTATCTTTTGGGGGGAATATAAGAGGGTTTCCTTACAAAATAAGTTGGTGTGATAGATACTTCAACTAGGGCTTTGTTGGGATCAAAATTGGGGTTAGGGTTTTGAAACTCCTTATTACATGCAGCGGAATAAAATCAACAGATCATACCTCTTTTGATCTAAAACCTCGTGGATAAATCACGTGCTTCCAGAATCTAATCAATCAATCCCAGCAGTGGGGTGATATTACAATGGTGAATATCACCCACACAAACCACAGTGCAAATGGCTTTGATCTTTTTTTTTTTGGAGAGAGTCAGTATATGGGAAAAACTCAAACATACGTTATTTTTCCACTTAATCACTCATATCCCATATATCAGATATATAATCTATTTATCTCATTTATCCATATTTGTTATATGAGATAATATCTGATATCTATATCATCTATCCATATCATGATATGATAGATATATATCTCGAGTGGCTATCCAAATATGTTTGAATTCAAATTCAAAACCCATTTGGATAAGGTTCAATAGGTTCAGGTTTAAAAGGTTCTGAGGGTCATGTCACATAAGCGCCCAATTTCTAACAAATATTATATTATATTATTATATATATATTTTTTTGTTTTCTTTTGCAAGTTCAAGGTTATAAAAGAAGTTTAAGAGAAAGAAAGAAAAGAGGGGAGAGAGGAGCGGGCAGAGGTTTTGGCCAAGGAAGCAGGGAGAAAGAGAGAGAAAAATAGAAAGAAAGGGAAGGTGGGAGAGTATAATTTTTATATATTAGTGTGGCATGAGTGTTAGGAAATAATTTTTCATCTTAGGGTGGAGATGAAATCTTGATCAAATAATTGTGATTTATTATATTAAATATTTTCAGTTTTGATTTGATTTGGATAAATTGTATAATTTTTAGATATTTTTGTGCAATAAATGTTTTATTCAAATCATGTTATACAATTGTTTTCACTACAGTGTATTAAAATTGTTAGATCAGTCATATTTAGTAAGATGGGTCGTGCATCAACCTTAGTTTAGTTTAGTTTAGTGGTGACGGTCCGTGCTAAGCAAAGATGATTCATAACTTTCTGGTTTTATATACAAATTCTCTTGACGATATATTTTTGATCAACTTATATATTTTTATCCAAATTAATGATTTTCTGAAAACTAATACAATAACTCTTGATTATAAGGTTAGTGGTAGATTCAAAACGATAAGAAATTTCTTGTTTTATTTTATTTATTTTCTGTTTGATTAATTTTAATTTTATTAATTTCAAAATCAATTTTCTTAAATTGCTTTAATTATTATTTTTGTATCAAAACAACTTGATTAGTCTCTGAGGATCGACACCTGGTCTTAATCACTATTTTACAGAATAATTGTTTTTACTTGGTTTTAAATAAAATATTTTGACGTGCAAATGACCATATCAAATACCATATCAAAACATTTAACTCAAAATTAATTTGCAATGAATACAGAGAATTTTACATTATATTAGTCAAATTTGAGTAACTTAGATTAATGATGTGAGATTAAAGTTTAATAAAATTATTTACAAATTTAAATATATAAAATTACAAAGACAATTCGCTAGTCATGATATAAAACGCATAAGAGAAAAAATCGGTGTTGTTGCACGGGCCAATTAGTTTGCATATCAAAATATGGTCATAATAACATTTATTATTATGTCATAGTTACTTTAAAATTATAATCTTATCTATTATATAAATTATAAAAATTTAAAACTTTTAAAATTATATTATATTATCTATTAATATAATAATTGATATACCAATTAATACCTATAACATTATTAAAAAAATATTTAATTGACAATAAATGAGTCATAAACATTTTTCCTTTTATTATAATTATTATGTTTCTGACTATTGTCATGTAAGACAACGATTATGATCTGTGGTTGTTCTTCTACTGTTAATTGTATACCCTACATAGTGTGAAACTTCTCATCCCCACATTATAATCCCTCTTTAACTCTTTTTTGTCATCCATTCCTTCAATGATCCTATAAACCATTCATAAATCCAAAACTAAAGACAACAAGAATCATCAATGGAGAAGACTAGTGCAAAGCACTTTGTTCTGGTTCATGGAATTTGCAACGGAGCATGGTGCTGGTACAAGCTAGCCACTCTGCTCCGGGCGGCGGGCCACCGTGTCACCGCCCTCGACCTAGGTGGTTGTGGGGTGGACCCATGAAGGCTCGATGAGATGGCTTCGATCTCCGACTACTTGCAGCCCTTGATGGAGTTTATGGCCTCTTTGCCTGATCGTGATGATGCAAAGGTGGTTTTGGTGGGGCACAGCTATGGTGGGCTTGGCATTTCTCTGGCTATGGAGAGGTTCCCTGAGAAGATCTCGGTTGGTGTTTTCATCACAGCCTACATGCCCAACTGTCAACATCCTCCTGCTACTCTCATACAAGAAGTAAGTAATACAAATTCTTCATTATAACCCTTACAACAACTCTTATGTGATTGATCTTTTCAGATTGTTTTCCTTAAAATTTTATGTTTCAAGTGTCAACTTGATAGCCAAAATTTAAAAAGAAAAATTATGTGCATAATTAATTACATGAAAAAATAATTTCTAGTGTTAAAAAATTTTATGTTGAAACAAACGGAGGTTAAAAAGAAATATATTTACTCCAATTAGGTATTATTGTAGGAACCCACATTTTATATTCTCATCATGTTCATGAGCATCGGTATGATTATGACTTGTTAAGTTTGCATGTGTATGTTTGTGACTTGTTTCGCTTGAGCGGATGTGATCCATGCCTTGTTTTGAAGCCTTGTGATTTGTCTAAGTGTAGTATGCTTGTCTTGTTCCTTCCTTGATGTGAAACTTCGGTCACGCCTTGCCTGAGTTATGCCAGCCGATGTTATTCCAAGCCGAGGTCATCCTTAGTCTAGTAGTAGTATCTTGAAACCCCTTGTTGACCTCCGTCCTCGCCTTGACACATTAGCCGAGATGTTACCTTGCACCCAAGCGATCTCGTCCTGGAGTGGTGCGACCTAGACCGAGGTGTGGCGCATCTAGGCCAAGATGTGGCACAGCTTAGTCAAGTGTTGTCCTTCCTAGCCGAGGTCATTGTCACCTTAGTTGCCGAAGTCCTTTGTTAGCCGATGCCACCCCTTGCCGGAGTGCCATTTCGTGTAGCTTGTTAGATACGCCTCGTTGTTAGCCGATGTCATTGCCCCGTCAGAGAGCCCATACCGCTTTACTTGTTGAACACCCTTCCACCATGCTTTGTCTGGTCTGTCAGCCACCTTTTCAGGAAGAACCCAACCAGTCGCCGCCACGTGTCTCAGCAGAGGGTTAACCCCAGAACCGGGTAGAGAAAACTATCATTTAGTATCATAACCTTGCCTTGTAGAGAGAGAAACTCTAGGAAGAAGAAGGAGTTTTAGGGTGAGGAAGTAGATCTTCAAGCTTGATTCCTAAAGATCGAACCGTTAGATCCGTGTTCTAAGGTTAGATTCTTGATCTGCTCATGATGTTCTCTATGTTCATGTTATTGCATTGCATGATCGGATATGATTTGTAAGCCATGCATCGTTTTGAAGTTCGATTTTAGAAAGAGAAAATGACATTCATGTGTTCTTCAAGAAAGTCTTGTTTTGATCCGAAAGCTTGCATAAAGAATCATGTTTTTGTGTTTATTTCCGCAAGAATTCGAGCTACGGGTACCCAGGTCCATGTTTTCAAACTCATAGCACGAAAATCCCAGATTTGTGATGACAGATTATGATTGAGCATCCATATTTTTCATGTTTTCACACTCATGTTTTTCATGTTCATCAGCAGAGGGAAACCCAGAGTTTCCCGACCTCTTTTCCTTGCATGTGGCCCTCGGGAACACACCTCGGCGAAGAGGTGTGGAACCTCGGCCTAGACCTGGTTGGTGCCCAGCATGTTTTCCGAAAACATTTGTGTACATAAGAAACTTGTTGAAGGTGCATTCAATAGGCTTTGCCATGTGTTTGTAGGACTTGGGCTTGTCTCGACCCCGACGTGTGAAGAAACGATGTGAGTGGTATTT